AATAAATTTAGAAAGATGTATAAATAACCAATAAACCATACAAAGTTCAAGCAACATATCACCCAAAATCTAGCCATATAAATGCCCAAACCTAACCACCACTGAAATACCTGAACTAGCTACAAAACCAAACAGACTTTAGACTCAACACCAAAATGCTCTAACCAGCTAAAATGCATCCATAGCTAGAAGAATCAGTCCCAAAAGGAATAGATTCTCTCACCACATTTAATACCCGCAACTAGCCGAGTATATTTAAGGTTAAATAGAACTCATCCAACTAAATACAGAGGTAAACTTTGATTTTTTCCTTGTTATATTATGTCCTCATATTGCCTACCGAGACAGCTCCAGGATTGGTTGACTCTATAACTGCATACACTGCCAAATAGTTTGGAATTAAAAATTAAAATATTACTTGCAGATCGTAAATGCGAGCAACTGTACTTCTAAACAAGAAAATCCACAAATAAACGTGTAACAAACCCACGTGCAGTATGTTTCTCAGGCAAGAGAATGATCCTAACAGCTAACATTCTTTCTTCTTATCACACATTTCCTATTTTTCCAACAAAAGTGAAATCAGAAAATTTCAAAGAAGTAGAACGTTGTCAATGGCATTGATTCCAAATCCTAAACAGGTGGCTCACTAATAGAATACTGAGTTTTTCTTAAATCAAGATTCATTGAGAAAAATGAAAAAATTACCACTACAAGTATGGGTAGCAGTATCAGTCATATGGAAAAATGAAAAGGTACTACTATCATCACAACATACAAAAATACTGTAACCTGTTGCTCCAATTGCCGATTGCGCTCTTCAAGTCTCCTAATAGTTGCCTGCTGATTCTTTAAATGGGTTGCTTCAGTCCTGAACTCCTCAAGCTCAACTTTCATTTTCCTATTCTCAGATTCTAATTCAGACAACTTCAAATCTTGTTCCTGCAGAGAACATTATGCAGCAAAATTGCTAAAAACAAATAGCATAAAGCAAAAAGTTCTATAAAAAACTGTATATATACATTTCTTCCTTTTTCCCCACTGAGAGGAGAGAAGACAGATATGGAACAACAAGAAACTTTTCTAGAGTATTCCACCTCGTCCATCCAGGTACTTCAATATTGCTTCCTTTTTACTCTTCTCATCATATCGTTTATACTCTACTAAAAGTTATAGCCAAATCTAAAAGCTCACGTCTGATTGAACAACGATAATACTCTCAAAAAAGTTCCATACTATTAAGTAGAATGAGAGAAAAAAACGTTCACAGGTTCAAATCATTGGTGCTGCTCAAATGCAACACATATACGAAAGTCTTTGGCACTTACACCAATTGAAGCAAGAGCAGGATAAGGATCTGGAGCCTCGTAAAGTTTCTGGTATATGTTAAGAAAAGAATTTTCTCCAAATTTTGCCCTCTTCGTAAGATTGTCTACTTCTTCTTGGTAACTCTTAAGTAGAGAACTAAACAAGTTCAGTTTCTCCTCGTCTGGAGCCTTCTTGAAATCTGTCAGAGTGGATAGTCAAACAAATAAAAAATAAAAACATTAGAGAAGGTCTTTCTATGGAAAAATTTGTAGAAGGAACAGAATATGACACGAGTAACAACCTCGTGTACTTTCTGCAAGCTTCCGACGATTTTTCTGGCTGTTTTCTTGATTTTCAGCTATCCTAAGTCCTTGCTCATCCAATGCACTTTTCTCCTTCTCTAAATCAAACTCTGCAAATAGAAAAATCAATGACCATCCTCCGTTAGCAGTGGGTAAATCTTTCATGGCAGTTTTAAATCAAACAGACAACAATCGACTGTATTGCCGAAACTTCATTTCCAAAAATACAAAATGCCTTGCATATTCGTCAGTACAATTTAACTCAACACTAACAATGCGGCATAACTTTTCCCAATGAAAACACGAGCCGTCCACAAAATCGCTCAGCCTAAAATTCTACTCTCCTTGGATCAAATTATCTCAACAAGCGGAGCTTAAATTGAAAAACTAACGCGAATAAATCCAGCAGAAAATTCGCAGGTAAAAACAAACTCCCCTACCATGAATCAGAACATAATACAGAACACGTAATTTTCTTAAGCTGTATAATCATCAAGTCCAAACCCACCAATAAGCGCACGAATTGAAAGAGAATCCGATTTACAATTAGACTATTACCTTTCCAGAAACTAGAGACGACGGAGAGGGGGGAAGTGGACGAGGAAGAATTCGGCGGTTTGTCCCTCTCGGATCCACCTTGCGGAACCTCCATATTCGGCAATGCGTAATTCAGAAATGGCCGCTGAATGAGTTCGAGAGTGCGATCACTCTCCACAACTATAATCCCAAAGCTTTTACAGTGATTGTGCGAGAGATTTGGAGATCAAAGAAGTGGTGCAGATCCAGAGGAGCTTGCAGAAAAGCTTCAATACGTCTGATATGGCAGATTCGACATGGAAAATCAAGTACGTTGAAGCCAAGGTGATCGCATTTCGTTCAGCCCAGGTGAGTCGGTTCAGCCAGACCGACAGATCTCTACTGGGCCAACCATTGGGCCGCTTGAACCGGAATACCCGCGTATAATTTTTATTTATTTATTTTTGGTTTTTTAACTACGAATCATAAGTTATTAAATATTTAAAAAAATCCTTTCCAAATACAAAATATTAAAAAATGATAGCTAAAAGTGACAATTGAAAATATATATAACAAAAATTAATACACGCTTCCTCAAAAATTTAAAAAAAAATTAATACAGCTCAAAAATAAAAATTAAAACACACCTACATTCATAATTTTATCTAATCAATCCTTAAATTAATAAGCAAATTGATTACGATACTTATATCCAACCAAAATTTCGTACCTCTTCGAATGAATATAAAACATCAATTTGAACATGATTGAATGAATAAAACATTTATTATAACACTTTGCCTTTTTTGGTTGATTTTGATGATAAATGTGGATATAATTAAGTGGTCATTTACCCTTGCTCCCAAACCAAGATATAAATTCAATGTTTTGTTAGGTATAAATCATATCTCCTCAAACGTCTCTTTTTTCCGGTTTCTAACTTGTATACTGCATAATCTTACCATTTAATCTCTAATATTTAGGAAATAATTTTATCATAGTCCCTAACGTTAGCTAACTTAATCGTGGTATATTGTAGAACAAAAATAGCTTTTTCATTTTATTTTTATTTTGAAGCGAATAAAAATAGATAAGATAATTATAGTAATAAAAAGAAAATACACACTCTCTCCACCCACCACTTCGCCCTCGCTGTCGCTGTTGCTGTCGCTGCTACTATTCCCTACCATCGCTGAATGAGAATCCCATGTCGCGACTTCTCTCCATCTCCCTCTTTGAGCTATTCAATCGTTATGAATTTGGAAGGGAAAGAAGAACTTCGTGCGTATCAGATGTGTCGGCCAACAACGGTGGCATCACACAGCAGCAGTGGTATTTTATTCACGAGTGGATGGAGAAACTGAAAATGATCTTTTAAAGGTACTTCGCTCCACCCAATTGAATCGAAAGCATCAAACCAAATCCGGGTCCTTCTTTCACAACGAAAAGTTTCAATTTTTTTTTTCGTTCTGGGCGCAGCCGATTATAATTCTAAACGAATTTGATTTCGTTATTTCGTTTAGATCATGAATGCTCAAGGTCATCTCCTCAAACGCTGGCCTGTTCGAGTTCTTCGATTCCATTGCTTCCAGCCTCTTTCTTCGACCCCTTTGTTAAATTCTGTTCCTGCCATCGATTCCCACCTAGTTTCCCTCTGTGAGAAACTGACTCCGCAAAACGCCAGAGAGGCTTTTTCTCTCTTTCAGAGTGCCGTCGATTCCGACTCCCTACCTTCTGGATTAACTTGCAACTCACTCATGGGAGCTCTCACGAGGACAAGAAATTACGAAATGGCTCTATCAGTTTATGGTAAGATGACTCGTGCAAATGTTTTACTGGGTTTCAGAACACTTTGTTGTTTAATTGAATGTTTTATTAGTACTCATGAGGTGAAAGTAGCATTTGGAGTGGTGGGTTTGATTATAAAGAAGGGTTTTGTAGTTAGTACATTTGTGATTAATATTATGTTGACGGGGTTGTGTCGAATTGGTAATGTGGAGAGAGCAACAGAGTTGTTTCATGAAATGAAAAGATTTTGTATATCACCTGACGTGGTTAGTTATAATGTGCTGATGAATGGACTCTGCAAGACCAATAAATTTGAAGAAGCTCTTCGATTTCTTGAAGAAATGGAGGGGACATGCCAGCCAAATAAAGTGACGTATACGACCATGGTGGATGGGCTTTGTAAAGGTGGAAGACTAGATATAGCAGAGGGTTTATTAGAGAGAATGAAGAAGAAGGGATTGCAGGGGGACGTCATTATGTATAGCGCGCTTATAAGTGGTTTTTGTAACAATGGAAATTTCTCTATGGGAAAAGAAATTTTCAATGAGATGCTAGAGATGGGAATTTGTCCTAATGTAGTTACATATAGTTGTTTGATGCATGGTTTATGTAAGGAAGGGCAATGGGAAGAAGCAAAGGCAATGTTGGACCGTATGACGGACCATGGTATTGTTCCTGACGTTGTAACTTATACGTGCTTAATTGACGGACTTTGCAAAAACGGGAGAGCCAAGCAAGCCTTGAACATATTAAATTTGATGCTAGAGAAGGGTGAAGAACCTAATACCATTACATATAATGTTCTGATAGATGGTCTGTGCAAAGGAGGACTAATAGAGGACTCTTGTAAAGTATTGGATAGGATGATAGAGAAGGGGAAGAAGCCTGATGTTGTTACTTATAATACATTGCTCCTGGGACTTTGTAAGGATGGGAAGGTTGATGAAGGAATTAAACTTTTTAATTTGATGTTGAAAGATAACTGCTATGTTAACCCAGATGTTGTCACCTTTAATATGCTGATTCAAGGGCTCTGTAATGAAGGTCGTGTTGAGGAGGCCATGGAGGTCTATAATACAATGGCTAAACACGGAATATTGGGCAACTTAATGACTATCAATTTTATAATTGGGGGTTATCTTGAAGCAGGAAGGGTTAACAAGACTATGGAGCTGTGGAAACATGTACTGAACTTGGGATTTGTTCCTAATTCAATTACCTACAGTATGATGATTAAAGGACTTTGCAGCTTGGGTATGATTAGTATGGCTAAAGGATTTTTTGGTACGATGAGGACACATGGGCCTAGCCCAACTCTGATTGATTACAACACATTGATTTCATCCATGTGCAAGGAAGGTAGTTTAGAACAAGCTAAGAGATTGTTTCAAGAAATGAGTCATGTAAATTTAGAACCAGATATTGTAACCTTCAATACCATAATTAACGGGTCTATGAAAGCTGGGAATTTATCGTATTCCAAAGAACTACTAATTGATATGATTGGGAAAGGCCTAGCTCCCGATGCTTTGACATTTTCAACATTGATTAATCGGTTATCAAAAACTGGTCTGTTGTGTGAAGCAAAAATTGTTTTTGAGAAAATGGTTGCTTGTGGCTTGACTCCAGACGCCTTTGTATATGATTCTTTACTAAAGGGATTTAGTTCAAAGGGTGAGACTGAGGAAATTATTGGCTTGCTCCATCAAATGGCAGAAAAGGGAGTTGTTCTTGACCCAGAATTAACTTCCACCATCTTAACATGCCTTTGTCAGAGTTCAGATTATCTCGATATTGTGGAGTCAATGCAGAAGTTTTCCCAACAAAGTTCTGATGGAAAACATATTACATGCAATGAATTGTTACTGAAACTTGATAAATCTTATCCAGAGCTCAAGTTAACCGTTGGAAAATCATAGTAAAGACCAGATATAATATCTTAAGACTCGACTTGATATCTCGTCTTCTGTTCTGTTCTAAGCAAGTCTTGGATTCTTGCATTTTTATATCCATCTTCTCAAGGTTTACCTCACAGACATTCTTTATCAAGTAAGTCATTAATCCCACTCTCATGATTAACGCTGATTTCCCTCATTCTCTTGTACGTGGCTTTTCTTTTATCCATGAATCATCCATTTTTTCTCTGTGGTCGCACATGGCTAGTTTAAATAAAACAAATAAAATAGCAGGAATCAGAAACTCCGTTGTCTGTCTCTCTCCCTTCCTTTTCCAGTTTTCCCTTTCCTGAGATCAAGTTCAGGAAAGAAATGGAAGAATAGATTATCAATTTTTATGCAAGGGATGAGAAAGGCATCGAGGAAAATAAGGATAGGGATAAGGATGTAGCGCAGGGACTAGCTTACTATCTGAGGATCATGCTCAATTCTTCAGAATTAGATGATCCTTCTCAAATTTAAATTTCAATGCTAGTACGTTCTTTGGATTATTCTGTTTCTAAACTTCAAAGTGATAGAATATAGACCTTTGGAGAGTTCTGATTCTAGAATATGATCTATGTTAGTCTTGTCCACGGCTAATCATGAGAAGTTTCTTAAAAATATCATATGTGGCTGCATACACTGGGAAGGCATCTTCTTTTACCAGTGAATTCTACTCTGTTGTGATGTACGACAGATTAAACTGCTGTAGTGATATATGTTTTTTTTCTTTAATTTTCTAATATATATGGAGTGATTTTGAGAATAGATTTGCACTTCAGCAGGGATATGCTCATGGTGAACCAATGGGAGTGTGATTGTTCAACAGACGATTGCTAAGAAACCTGGGGATATTTCTGTTGCTCTGCTGAATATGAGGCTATATTTGTGGTACCCCCATGTGCCTTTCTATTCCATATCAGTGGTGATTGTTCCAAATCCTTTTTTTTCATTTTTTTTTTAGTAAGAAACCTGAGATGTATTAGAACCAAAAGAGAGAGGAGAGAAAATAGCCTAAGGGCAGGGGAAAGAGGGTTCCCTTTCCCGCAAAACTTTAAGAGAAGAATGATAGGCCCCAAATCACTAAAATGTATGAGCATAAGCGTGTGAGAAGGAGTCGGTGTGAGAGTGGTATTATGCAATAGCAGTGAGGCCCAAGAAAATTTTGTCAGTAGTTTTGAGGGTATCTTTTGGATAGTCTTTTTCTTGTGTTTCCTCTACTGATAATTGGGAGAAAAGGGGAGTTCTTTAATCTCCCTTAGCATGTGTATTGATAAATAAAACTGAGGTCATGGCTTCTCAAAGAGTCTTCCAATCACATAGAATCATAAAGACTATAGTTACAGAAGAATTTTCTATGTCTATAATAAACACCACCACGAAGAGGTTAGCTGTACACGGTTAGAAAAAATCAATGGAAGATGATCTATCCTCCAATCCAGAAACTGTGAAAGGGTGATAAATGGTTTAAACTTAATTTATTGGTTTGGTGCTGCAGGGAGGTGAAGAACACCATGCTGCTGATGCAGCTACTTTTGCCCCAAATGCTCAAGCAGGACAAGTGGGTTGATTGACTGGTAGGAAGCAGGCGATTTGACTGGGAAAGTTGAAGTTGTCACTGGTATACCTACGGTAGAGACCTTTTTCCACTTCTTCTAAGCTCTCGTGTGGCAAGGCAATGGGTTTAGTATGCTTCCATATTTTGACTGGATCTGACTCAGATTTTTTGAAGACAATTTCAGAGATTTTGTTACATCATGGAAGAAAAAGCTAAGTTATCTCACTTTCTTTAGATGTACTGTTTATTTGCTTCATACCACCATTCTGGTTCTGTGTTTTGCTTCCATATTCTGAAGGAAATATTACATTCTTCCATATACACATACACCCTCTAGTAAGGACTAAGGTCATTACTTTTTCTGGGATAGGAGACCAGAAATTTTATTCTAAATAAAAGATACAAAGGCTGAGAAATTCTCCAAAAACTCGTATTGCTTTGCTCAAAGAGAAGCTGTACATTGTCCCATTTTATTGGTCTAACGAAGTTGCTATTTTTTTTTTTTTTTTGTTAATGTTACTTAGAAAGATGACTATGGCTTGAAGCACTTCCCAATGTAGTAGTTCATATAAATTATAGTTAGAAAACACAACCCATACGTCGTCACCCATCAACCCCTAATGTTGGTCAGGGGAAGATACACTTGCATATGGTGCACTCAGTCATTGTTTTAGCACATAATATACGATTAGCTAATCACACCTCTTTTATTGACCGAGAGGATGAAATTTATTATTTATTATTATTTTTATAAGATAACGATATTTTCAATGAGGGGAAAAAAAAGGTAGAGAGCTACCTACAAATAGGGGGCTTCCAACATCAGAAGGCTATAATTACAAATGAATTTTCTAACACCCAAAAGAGCAGTGTGTTGTACACTATTATAAAAAAAATAGATCAAAGATGGTTTGTCTTCAAAAGTTCTTTGATTTTTTTTTTCTTTATACATGAGTCAAAGGAGAGTTCTTCCCGAAATACTCGTGTAGAAGATGAGATTGCGCAAAGATATGTAGTTGTCATGGTTTGAACTCATCTTTTTTAAGTCTTTTTACTTTTTTTCATTGGTTGGGTTCTAACCAGGCCAACTTGTGGTGGAATATCGTTGCTTGTTTGATGCTGCATTTATTGTTTAAAAATTGTCATCAAAGCAGCCTTTACTATATATATATATATAATATATATATGTATTTACATTAAGATAGTATGGTCATGGTCTATACTTCTTCATTGTGTTATGTAATTTGTTTTTCATTTATTTTGAATTGCCAAAACTTTTGCATATATCTTTTTTAGTATAATAAAATTTTGGCATAAGGATTAGAAACTCTCCTAAATGCTTTAATTGCTAAGCTATGCTCATGTTCACACTCATACAATTCATTCTTCATTCTTCTCTAGTGTCTTTGGGCGCATGTTTTTTCTTTTATGTGCTATGTGGTTACGAATGGAATGTTGTAGATAACTAAATAAATAGAAATATAACTCTACAAAAAATAATAGTAATATTACTGCTTCACATAATGCTTTGTTGATTGATAGAGAGTAATGAGGCGAATTTAGTATAGTTGATAATTTTGATTCTTTTTTTTTTAAGTTCAACGATACGAGAGTGAGAATTTGTACCTCCAATCTTTTGGTCAACAACATATGTCTTAATCAGTTGGTATATGTTCAGGTTGACATGATTCATTTAAATTGATTGTATTTAGGATCCAAAATTTATAATAAAAGTTAGAACATGAAAATTGGTTCTAATATCACATTTCAATGGTGTGTGCTCAAATTTTGTACGAATTTATCATTTGAAATTTTGTATCATATATTTGAAATGAATGATGCACACTATTCCTTTTAAAAATGACATTTTCCCTCGTAGATGACCCTACCAAAGTGGGGGCTGAAGTTCACTCATTTAGTAGAGAACATGAAAGTTTTTCTTTCAATATGTTGATTTTGGGGATATGGACGATTTTATTTTTTAATACGTTAGATTAACTTTTTTTCAATTCATATATTAATGAATACTTTTCTTTATACAATAAATAGAATAAAGATTTGAACTCACAATCTCTTAATTGATAGGTGTCAATTAATGATAAGTTCACCATGTTGACTGTTATGAATATTTGAAGATCGTCAAAAGGAGTCCATATTATCATAGCTGTCAAGATTGATTGGGCTTTCTTTTGGATTTCTCTTCCAATCTCCTTTAGGACTCATGGAACCTCTTAATTGAAGATAGGTGTCAATTAATGATGAGTTTATGAATATTTGATTACCATAGCTGTCAGGATTGATTGGACTTTCTGTTGGATTTCTCTTCCAATCTCCCTTAGGACCCATGGTTATCCATATTACCATAGCTGTCAGGATTGATTGGGCTTTCTGTTGGATTTCTCTTCCAATCTCCCTTAGGACTCATGGTTTCGTACCAAGTATCAAATTCAGAGTAAACTATCTCCACAGCAAGATTCATGTGCTCCACTCCAATTAGGGCAAAAAAATCCAACTTCCAATGTCATATCCTTTTTCTCTCCTACTCGCTCTGTTTTCATTCGGGCTAGGCTCTCGGTGGAGCAGAGGAGACGCTTAGGATAACGAACTTGAAATGCGGAACCCGAGTGGCTGGCATATTTTCATTAGATATAAAATAATGCTTATGAAATGTCACACCACTATTTTATTATTCAATTTGGTTAGGGTCAGGACAATTAGAAAAAAATTGAGAAGAAAAATAAATTAAGGTGTTGTTTAGCATGCCATTTGAAAAAAATAAAATAAAAAATGAAATATTCAGTGGAGTTTAGCATGACAATATGACAATAGTGATTTTGGCTAGATAGTAGATATAAATTACTTTTAAATGCTTTTTATCTACTTTATAATTCTCCAAACTATTTTTTTGTCATGAACGTTTTAAAATTTATATTTTTAATTGATCATAAACACTCTTTAAAATTTTAACACCTACTAAATTTGTTTTTAAAAACACATCCTTGCATAAATACCTTAAAAGATTGAAGGCATGCAAATGCACACTAAGCTAATCCACGTACCTATACCTGCACCTGCATTCAAGTGGTTATTACTTCATCCATCGTCAAGAAACATAGACCGTTAAACGAAAAGGCAAGTGATGATGGTAGAGGAGAGGCCAGCAGGGGCGACCTGAGAACACACATCACACCGAGACACAATCAGGGCAACGACGTGTCGTGTGTTCTGAGGCAGACCCTGTAGGACCCTTCTACCCATTGGCTCTATGCTCCCCTTTTGGCACTGCCAGCCTCCCATTATATAGAGCAGGGCATGGATAGAAAGGAACTCCCCTGGTTCCAGTACACTGAGTTTTCAACATGTACTACACATTTCCCCATGTACTGTACTACTCCTTTGGAGAAAGAAAATTAGTTGTACTTTCAATTACTTTGTACTTCCTCCCTTCACCTCTATCCCGACGGTACACATCACCGATTGAGTTTCACATGAAACCAAGGGAAAAAGATCGTCATTTTACACCTAATATCTATCCACTTTGTATTATTACACATATTTGCATCAAAGAAATATAAAGATAAGGACTAAAATAGTTATTTTTTAAAAGTTGAAGGGCGGAAGCATAACAAACATACCCAAATTGAACTGTTGTCATGAGCAAATAAACATCTGAAGCAGAGATTCTTAATAAACATTGAATCACTACCATAAATAAGAATAGCAGTTCCAAACACTCTTTTCATTGAATTTCATGTCCTAAACAGGCATTTTACATTAATTATAGCTAAAAACAATCTAAAAGACATGTTAAGATACAGGACACTAATCCTACCTCTCAAAAAGAATTGAATAAATAACCGAACCCAAAATTGATGAAACTATGAATATTCTTTGAATAATTCCTCAAAGGCAAAAAAATGTTTCGAGATCGAATCATTTTGCAAAAGGAGCTTCAAATGCAAGGCCACCACCGAGAGTCTGGTATAGCCAACACATTCAAATGATCTCAACTTGTTCAGATATGGCCAAGGAAAAGTTTCCTTTGTGAAAAAGTTATAAAGAATTGACGGCATGAGTGGCACTCTTAATCATATTCCCTCTTTCTATCTTCATCCTCTTCAAACAAGTCTTCTGGTGGGTCGTATACGATCATATCAGGGAAAAGCTCCAAGAAGTCGTCTTTGATCTGTTCTCTCAATTCTGGGTATGGAATAAGCCCCTTCAAAATTACACGAAAGGGCAGGGATAATGGCCTATCAGGAGATTGTCTCATTTCACGATATATGTCCATGGCCTCAGAGGGCATTCCATTATCCAAGTATGCCCGAATAATATCTCCAAAAGTATGCTGATCAAATAGCACTTCCTCTCTTTTTAGATCCTGCCAAACTTGTTTTGTTTCTTCCACCTTTTTGTTCTTCGATAGCATCATAAGCATGTCTCTATAAAAGAACATGTCGGGACGATACCATACTTCTTTACGAACCACATTATACAGCTGAAATGGAAAAGCATGTGTCAGCAATGCAATCAATGAGACAAAAGCAAAGGTTTATTTCAACTAAAAAGGAGTAATGTGTATATATCTATAAAAAAAATGGTGTATTTTGTTAAATAACTTTTTTTTTAAAGGTTAAATAACAAAACTACAAGAGTAAGATAATATTGTTTTCCAAGACAATAGATTAGATTATTAAGACGTTTCAAAGAAAATTTTTTAGGATAGAATGTTCAAGGCATGCACCATTTTAAAAGAAATATAACTGGAAATAGAGTAGGTCCTTCAAAGCCAATTGGGAACCAAACAAACAATTTTGCCTCATTTCCAGTCACCTAATGTTTTCAACCTTCTTGTTCAATATCTCTTCAACACAAAAGGGCAACAAAGTATTGTAGATTAGTCAAATTCCCAACAAGAAAAACATGATTAGGAATAAGTAAATTTCTATTTATTTTACTAAAAGGTACATGATTACGCATAAGTAGATCTTTATTTGTTAAATTACTTTATTGTCTAAAGGAGACATATACGTGCTCAGTTATAGCAATTCATCTTATGTTACACCCTATGTTGGCAATACAATACTATAATTTTCTGTTTCTAATAGATGCATCACATTTTTATGTGGATCTCACTTCCAAGAAAACAAAAAACTCGTATTATAGAGCATGTTGACGTTGAAAATGCTGGCATACTTCCAAAATGCAGATTTTCTTATTTTTCTCTACCAAAAGTAGTCCTCTTGACCCAATGACATCCAATGTTAGGAAACTTGCAATCTGATAAACTGAAAATGGTGAAGCTTCCGATGAAGCTTGATGGTCTCGGTCTCGGAAATCTGAAAGAGAGAGACATCTCTCTCTTAAAAATTATTGCTTTTCTTTTTTAGCTCAAGGGTATTTTAACCTCAAACCTTTTGGTCGAGGATATATGACTTTAACTAGTTGAATTATACCCAGGTTGCCTATAAAGGAAATTATTGCTAGTTCTAAATCTAATTCTCCAACAGGTGCTTGGCGAGCTATCTTTAACCCATAGAAGGTTTTAGCTAACAAAATCAGAGTTTGCGGCCATAATAGCAAGAATAATCTGAAAAGGAAATTCACCCCATTGTTCTCCCCGAAACTCTACTAGCTCTTCTCAAAGGAGACCTTCTTTCATCAATACTGGAATTTTACCTTCTCTTCTTTGGATCTTTGCTTCAGAAGAAACCTCAAATTCAATGATAGAGAAGCTCTTGAATGACCACATGTCATGAAGTCGATCCTCAATTTCTCCCAGGATCTTCTAGTGATTCTTGGTCGTGGCATTCTGATGGTTCTGGCTATTTATTCACCAAATACTTATCTTGAATCTGGTTAAGGCCTTTCCTTGCTCTTACTTGCAATTACATTTGGCGGGTTATCCTTCCTTAGAGAATTATTTTTGTTTGAATGTACATCATTTAGCTTCTTGGTGATCTACAAACCACAAGAATTTCTTTTGCAATTATAGCTTACAAATTATTGTGAATGATGGAAAGTTGTGATGGTCTAGTCTATTGGGAAGGGTGATCTCCACCCTCTGCCCTTAGGTTGCTCTTTTCCTTCTTCTGGGAGTCCTAATATATTGTGACACTGTCTGTAATCCAAAAAAAAAAAGAAAAAAAAACAAACATTTGGAGGATTAAATGTCCTAAAAAAAGTCAAAATCTTCACTTGGTGCTCATTTCATAGTGGTATTGACACTCGAGACAAATTGAAGCATGAACCCTTTTGTCACTTTATCTTCTGGTTGGTGCATTATGTGCAAGGAGAGTGAAGATAGCTCATCTTTTCCTCCACTGCAAGTTTGCCTCTTCCATCTGGACACTCTCTTCAATTCCTTTGGCATGAATTCTACTTTCCCTTTTACCATTTTGCCGACTGAGTCGTATTACAAAGTCTCAAGTTTCCTATACCCAATCCCCTAATTCAACTGAACTGATCTCGAGACTTATCCCTAAGCAAACCAACTACACTTCCAGAGTTCGCTATATCTTTCTACATTTGAATTTGAACATGACTTTTTCCACTTCAGAATGCAATTATCAAATACTAGGACATGTAATCTTCCCCAAAACCTAAACGTAGATAAAAACCAAATACGAAGAGCATACCCATATTACGTCCTATCCAATAATGCTAAGGTTCGATCATTCAAAATGATCCCTATATAAGTAGTCCATCCAAACAACTCGAATTCTGGATTAACCCAACATATTATAGCAAGAAACCTATCAAACTCACATTCCATTGATGGCCCTTCAGAAACAACCATATAACTTTCAGCATAGAGAGAGACAGATAGAGAGAGCAGAAGAGGATATACCTTCATGCACAGAAAGACCTGTTTCTGTCTCTGAAGCTCGACGAGAACGGCGACGAGATCGGACTTGAGCAAGCGAGAGACATGGGAGGAAATGAAGCGGTCGAGGCGAATGAGATTGGACTGAAGCCTCTTGAGCTCTTTAACCACAATCAAACCCTCCTTGCCCATCTCCTTCTTCCTCCTCCATATGGAGAGGCTAGGGCTCGAAGCGGAGCCAGTGATGAACCGGAAGAGCGATTGTTGCTGTAACTGATCGCGATCGAAGAATGTGATTGGGGAAGAGAGATGGAAGGGGATTGTGGCAGTGCGAGTGACCCTATTTGGCGCTCTTCGAAGAAGATTTGGAACAAGACGCAGCATCAAATCTGGAAGAACCTTGGAGCGAGATACTGCAACAGAATTTTGCGCTCTTGTTAAAACCCAAGAGAAATGGGCGGGGGTTCTGTAGCATAGCAAGTGATGCTTGAAGAGTTTTTTCTTCTTTTTTTCCCCTCTTTTTTATTGGGGTAATGCTTGAAGTTGAGAGTAATTCTTGTTTTCAGTGATGTCTTAACTATGTCATCCAACTGGTAAAACTTCTATTTTCAGCGTTTTTTTAATTTTGAAACTGTTTTGAATTCGGTCGTCCAAATGGTGAAACTTTTAAGACCGTTGGAAATTCAGATGATGTTTTTTTTTGTTTTTCGACGTTTGGCATAATCTTTTTAGATCCTTTTTTAAAATTGTTTATGGATTCTGTGATCCAAAAATTCTGGAAACTGCTTTTTTTAATGTTTTCAGTATTTTCAAATTTAGAATTTGAAAATTTTAACATGGAATTACATTAAAAAGATAAAAACTTTGATAAAATATATTACTTCATATTATAAACTCATTTTATGTTTGTTAGAATTGAAACAGGTAAAATATAATGTATTTTAAATTATATAACCTTGTAAAATAATAATTATATAAAATTCATAAAAGAAAATATTAATTAATTAATATAAGTTTAGATAAACTTAAATTTTGATTCAATTACCAAATCTGCCACCAAATACATATCTAAAAATACGGAAAACAAAAAATACAACTCTGATTTTCATTCAATCTCTTGTTTTCAAATTTCTGTTTTCTGATTACTAACCTTATTTTCTTCCAATTTTGAATTTGAAACTATTAAAAAAAATTCTATAAAATTTAATTTATATAGTTTTCTTTCTTCTTTTTTTGGAAATAGTATGTCCCTATTTTATTTTTCTGAATTTACAATCATACCATTAATATTAATATTTAATAATTAAATGTTATAATTTCTCTCTAACAAAATGTTAGTTGAAAAAACCGTGGTTAGTGAAAAAAATGGCAAACAAAGAGAAGAGTGATTAATCATTAATCACACTTATTTATATTAGATGTGATGTTTAAATACACATAAATACAATAATTTTTAAAATAAAGTTTTTATTTGATAAATTAAAGTTTTTACATTTAATCATGTTTAATGGTAGAATATGAAATAGGTTAAAATCTCAAACGTTTTGCAACTATTTAAATAAGAGAGGAAGTGGACAAGTACACGTAACAACGAGCTTGTCGTTCCCACAACAAAGAACAAATTGGTCCCAAAATACAATCCCAAAAAATTCCCAGCTGGCAACATCTGATGCCTCTACTCCAAATGAAATCGAAGACTCCAAAATCGACGAAATCGACACATTCAAACCCAAATAAAGATCCCGCCGATTTAATAGGAGTGCGTTGAAGTAGAGGCGGGAGATTTGGACGAAGAAACGGGTGCATTGTTGAAAATTAAACATGTCTTAATAGGTTTAGATACCTTAATACATGTACATGAATGAGTAGTTCATTGTATGCTCATGTATTAGTTGTTTTGCTTCCAACAAATTAATTTCAGCATATATAATGTTTATGGAGACAAGTGTCCCTCTGTATATTTCCATATAATTAACACCTGAAGAGGCGGGGATTCAAACTCATTACTTATAATAGGTGTCAATTAAGTTCATGTTACAGGCATATGAGACACTTTTAAAATTTATTTCGTAAACTTATATTTAGACACATAATTGAAAATTTAGAGACCTATTAACTTATTAGACACAAATTTAAAGTTTCATCGACCTACAATTTCATTTAAGTTATTTTTATTTTACTTTTTTCTCTCGAACCCTAAACATCATAACTATTCAGCTTCTAGGTTGCGATTCCATTCAGATTTTAATGGGAGAATACAATGAATGATTTTTTTTAGAAAAACTTAAAATTTAAGAGCTCACGTGCTTAATGTGCATATTTTATATGTAACAAAAACGAAGAGAACAGCAGTGTGAAAGCAAGAGAGAAATTGTACGAGGGAATAACTTCTCTTTATTGAATTGAGAATTGTTACTTCTATTTATTAAATTGAGAATTGTTACCAGAATTTATAGGGAAGAAGAAAACCGACCACTAACTCACTACTTAGGCCACTACCCTTCAAAATCTCTCTAAACCAACACCATAACTCCATTAAACCACTAACCTATTAATTCTCTGAACTTTCAATCCACTCATCCACTACTTAATAAACTTTCAACTATGAAATTAATTACCGAGCATTACTCCTAGAATTGTGGAACCATTAACAAATAAACTAATACATGTCTGCACTAATTCTTAACACCTCCTAGTGCAAACATACAGATACAAACAACAACCACTTATGATTACTTCAATCTTCCTCCATAAGAGTAGAAATTGCTTTTGTCTCCCTCGTACGAAAACAATCCATGGTTGCATTGAGTTGCTTCTCCCTTTTCAGTTTCTTGACATGATCGAGGAGTAGAACATCATTTTTTTTCCTCAATGCACAAAAACTCAACTTGACATGTAACAAGTTCCAAACAAATCATGTCATAACAAAAAATATCCATCCTTTTTTATGATTCTCCAATAAATAAATACTTAAGTTCAATATGACTCATTATTTCCCAGCTCGAGTGACATTAGTCATTCTAACACCAGCAACGACATCAAAATCTACATCAAGAAATACATTAGCAATCACAACACCTTGATAAATAATCTTTGGATTGCAACTTTCACAAAAATACTTGAAACCTTGAGTTGTGTCAAACGACTGTAGACACCGTATTTGGTCCGACTTCAATTTAATTTTAATTTTTACTATTTAATTTTTGTTATTAAGTTTTATTTTGATTATTTTGGTTTAAAATACTATAAGATTACTTTATTATTGGTTATAAGCTAAAGTTAAAATTAAATTAAAAAAATAGATTTTGTTTTAAAGAATTTGATTTATTATTAAAATAAAAGAAATAAAAAAATTTGATTTTAAATAAAGAATTTTGTTTTAAATAAATATTTTTTTAATTAAAAAAAATAGATTCTGTTTTGGTAAAAAATAAGGATTTGGTTTATCCTCCCGTTTTTCCTTCGTCATAACCTAACGCGTGTCATTCTTCCCTTCTTCTTCTCCCTCCTTTTTTCTCTCTTCTTTTGACTCTTGGGACAGTGCATAGGCAGAGAGTTAGAAACTCATCATATCTTCTTCTCTACATCTCTCTTATCTCACCATCACCACTTTTCTCTTGCATACCCACGACCCCCGACGACGCAACAGAACGACGCGAACGACAGCAGCAACAACCTTCTTCTTCACAGCTTCTTCCAAGCCCGCTGGCACTCCGACGATCTCCTTCCCGGTAGTGCGTTTTACGTTGGAAAGAATTTTTTTTTAAATAAGGGAAAATTGGCTTTGAAAATCATGGTTTTAATTTGAAACAGATTCTTTTATTTCTATACAAAGATTTTTTTTTTAAATGTTTTTTTTTACTTTTTTTTAAAAAGAAAATGCTTTTAGTAAGAAATTTTTTTTTAAGATAAAAAAATCTTCTAAATTAATTTTAAATGAGTTTTTGAAAATAAAACAAGGTGATATTTTAAAATTTGTTTTAAAATAAAAGGTTTTCTTTTCCTAATAAAGAAGAGTTTTTAAATGAAATAAATATAAACTTAATTTTATTTTAATAAAATATTTTACTTTAAAATTTTGGTTAAAATATGTTGAAAAAAATAGGAGTTTTATAAAATAAATCTTGTTTAAAAAAATATAGATTCTTTTAAATTTGGATTGAAAGTTTAAGAGATAAAAACAAATATTCTGCTGCAGGAATTAAAAAAAGGAGATAAACTCTTTTTTTTAAAAAAAAAAATCCTCTAAATTGTTTGGTGGTTATGGTTTTCAAAAAAATCTTAACAAAAAATCAGTTTTAATAAATAAGTTTTGTTAAAAGTAAATTTGACTTTATTTTTAAATAAAAGTTTTTTTCCTTTTAAATAATCTTGTTAATTTCGAAATAAATAAAAAAAAGTTATTTATTTTTGTTTTAATTGAACAAATTCGTAGGTTTTTTTTAGTTTAAAAAAATAACTTAAAACCTTTGTTTTTTAAAAGAATTCAATGATTACATCTTATGATGTTAGAATAGTGGTAAAAGTTTGGTTTTTTAATGTACATGACTCAAATTTTTTTTAAAACAAAATTCAAAATTCAAAAATTTGTATTTTAAAACTGAACATAGCTTATATCCTAAAGTGGTGGAACGTTGGTGAGACGATGGGTTGTAATCACTCATGTCGCAAGTTCATGTCTTAATGTTACCTAAAATTAAAATTATTTTTTTTATTTATTATTTTTTGCTAAATAATTATTTCAAAAATTCCAATAACGGAAATTGGAACCTTCCAATATTCTCGAGGTGTCAAAATTTTTCTAATGGCCTTCGTGCCACTCATACCTATTAATTCATATCTTATTACAAAATGTGAATTAATATAATATGGGACATTTAAAATAAAATAAAAATATTTCCTTTTTTTGGACCAAATAAAATAAAATGATAATTTTTGACAAAATGTGGTACCGTTTTCGAACGGGTGTCGTAGGGTGCTAACACCTTCCCTACGCTCAGTCGACTCCCGAACCAACAATCTGTTTTCACAGACCTTGTCTTTATTTTTAGGTGACCAATCACACCTCGTAGATGATTGGTGGCGACTCCAAACCCTTATCTCAAAGAGACCGTTCAGGGGATGACGTTGGCCGCTCCACGTCGCGATGAAGTTGCGACAGCTTGGCGACTCCACTGGGGACTATTAAGAGAGTCAAGCCATTTATTTTGTCGTTTATTATCCTATTATAGTATGTTTTGGGTCCATTTTTGTTATTTGTTATTTTTTAAATTTTTGTAAATATTTATATGCATTATGATTTTATTTTGCATCATCACGCATCTCACACACATTCACAAGCCTCCTACCCAAGCTTTACCCTTAAGATTAGATCGGAGACTGAGTAGTATGACCTTCGTGGAATTTCGGTTGTCGTGCAAGCGCATGAAATTCTCCACTCAAGTCGACCATACTGCCAAAGCATATGGAAGATTTGGGGGCCATTATCCTCTAGGATGCATTAGTACATAACTTCACGCTCATATT